ACTTGCTGCTGTAGCAGCAGCAGCAGAAGACAACCCCCTTCGACTTCGACTGGTGCTGGAGCAGCTGGTGCTGCTGCAGCAACAGCCTAGGAGGACAAATAACCAGGGTAGGAGTACTAAGGGGCAACGAGGAAGCTTCAGCTGCAGCAGCCGCAGCAGAGGGCTGCAAAGAAGTGAGGGAGAGGCTTAGCCTGAGCAGCAGCACGAGCAGAGTACTTAGAAGGAAGAGGCGAGCTTCACCTGCAGCAGCAGGAGCAGCACCAAAGGAGTGCTAAGACGCGGTGCCACAGGTTTAGCTGCAGCAGCGGCAGCAGAAGAAACCACTTCAGGTGTAATAGTAGCTGTGCCTGCGTGTCGTCGCATGGCGCTGGAGAAGAAGAGGCAGCAGCGGGATCAAGGCCTTCTTATTGCTTAAACAGCAACCAGCAGGCAGCAGAAGCAGCAACAACAGCCGGCAGAAGCAGCCGCAACAGGAGGCAGCCGGAGCAGCAGCAGCAGGAGCTGGTGTGTTTTAGAACGCCAGGCAGCAGCAACAAAGCCAGCGTAGCGCGAGTAGCAGCGGCAGGGGCAGCAGGACCAGCAGCAGCCCCGAAAGCAGGCATCAGCAGCGGCAGTGGATGGTGTTGCCGTTTTGCTGAATATGCTTTTGTCTGTGTAGCTTTGGCGAACCAGGGACGGGCAGCAGCAGAGGAAGCAGCAGCAGCAGCGCAGCAAGAGCTGGGGCAGCAGCAGCAATTGTCTACAGCAGCGACGTCACACTATAGTACTCCACAACCAGCAGAAGCAGCAGCAGCAGCAACGAAGGAGCTGAGCAGAGCAGCAGCAGCCCTTGTTAGCAAGGTCCCTGTTTTTCTCGAAGAGTGGGCTACTTAGGTCTATTAAAGATTGCTGCTCGACCTGTTTGTAACGAATACTGCAATATAGAGTGTAGTTACTGGAAAGGAAAAGGAAGAAGAAGAGAAAGGAAAAAGAAGGGAGACTGGCAGGTGTAGGAAGTATCCAGAGAACGCAGAGGTGTTGTGCGACCACCGATGCAACAGAACGTTTCGCCGGTCGCATAAAAGCAGCAGCAGCAGCAGCAGCAGCAGGAGCAACTGCAGCAGCAGCAGCAGTATTAACAGCAGCAGGAGCAACAGTAACAGCAGCAGTAACAGTAACGGCGGCAGCAGCAACCGCAGCAGCAGCAATAGTCGCAGCGGCAGGAACAACAGCAGGCGCAGCAGCAGCAACAGCCGCAGCAACAGCCGCAGCAACAGCCGCAGCAACAGCAACAGCCGCAGCTGCAGCGACAGCCGCAGCAGCAGCAGCGGCGGCAGCAGCACCCGCAACAGCAGCAACAGCGGCAGCAACAGCAGCTCTAGTGGTAGCGAAAGCCCTAACAGCAGCACGGGGAGCAGCAGGACCAGCAGCAGCACGCCGCAGGCGGTAGCAGCAAGAAGCAGCAGCAGGAACTGCTGTGGCAACGGCAGTTGTAGTAGCGGCGTTGATAGGAGCAGCAGCGGCAGCAGCAGCGGAAGCAGCAGCAGCAGCAGACGGACGGCTGGCAGCAACGACCAACAGCAGCAACAGCGGCACTGCTGGCAGGAACGCCAGCAGCAGCAGCCTCTCTCCCAGCAACGACAAGCAGCAGCAGCGGCGTAGCCCCACCAGCAGTAGTACCAGCAGCAGCAGCAGCAAAGAAGGTGGGCAGCAGCAGGGCACAATCACATCGCAGACACATGTGTTCTCCGTGATGACAGCTAGAGAAAGGGGTAGAGGGACAACAAGTATAATTTTTATATCTAGTATTTCACTAGCTGACGTGCAGCACGAGGCGTAGTCTTCATTTCATCGTAGCAGGGGCGCCGACAGCAGCAGCATGAGTGTGGGCAGCAACAACCTTTCCTTGACAGGCAACAGCCGCGGTGTGGTAGTAACAGGAGCATCGTAGACGCGGCAGCAGTAGCAGCAGCAGCCGTGGGCGTCATCACCCGCGCAGCAGCTGCACCCACGGACTCAGCGCAGCAGTAGCAGCGGCGGCAAGGGCGGTAGAGACTTCATCGCTACTTACATTACTACCGCTGCCGCTGCTAATGCCACCACCACTTCTGCTGGAGCAGCGGTGGCATTATCAACAGCAGCAATAGGGGCAGGTGGAAGCAGCAGCAAGTACGCCCAGCGACGGCAGCAGCAGCAGCTGCTGGTGCTACTGGTACCACTACGACTACCAGTCTTCCTGCTGTGGCAGCGGCTGTGTTAGCAGCAGCAGCAGCACCAGACGTGGCAGCTGGTGCGGCAGCGGCGTAGAAGCAGCAGGGCACGCTGTTGCTGCACAGCGGGCCGGCAGCAGGAGCAGCAGCAGTAGCGCAGCGGCGGCAGCAGCAGCAGCAGCCCCAGTAACAGCGACAGCAGCAGCAACAGCGACAGCAACAGCGGCAGCAGCAACAACAGCGACAGGAACAGCAGCAGCAGGAGCGGCCGCAACAGCAGCAGCAGCAGCGGCAACAACAGCAGCAACCGCAGCAGCACCGGCAACAGCAGCCGCAACTGCAGCAGCGCCAGCAACAGCAGTTGCAGCAGCAACAGCAGCATAGCCTACAGACCAGCAGCAGTAGCAGCAGTAGATTTGTCATTGTGCAGAGTGCTGCAGAGGCCGACAAATATGAAAACTTGACTCCTATCTAATTTTTGCGTGCAAAAAATTTTTACTTTCTTATGTCTTTTCTGTTCTCCACACGCCATCGAAGATAGTGTCTGCTTTTTCCTATTATATGTGGTAATACATGTGCTGTGTATACTACAACTACTATTACTATCAAGCACCGCTGCGCGTCCCTGATACACGTTGCTGCGGCCTGCAGCAGCGCACGTCCTTCCTGCTGCAGCGGCAACAGCAACAGCACCACCAGCAGCAGCGGCACCACCAGCAGGAGCAGCAACAGCAGCAGGAGCAGCAACAGCCGCGACAGCAACGCAGCAGCAATAGCAGCAGCAACAGCAGCAGCGGGAGCAGCAGCAATAGCAGCAGCAATAACAGCAGCAACGCAGCAGCAGTAGCAGCAGCAACAGCAGCAGCAACAGCAGCAGCAGACGCAGCAACAAGGGCAGCAGCAGCGGCAAGCGATCCGGATCGTCGGTATCAGTAGTAGTGACACCTGTAGTCTGGTCACGATACAGCAGCAACAGCAAAAGCAGCAGCAGCAGCGGAGCGGCAGAAGTAAGAAAAGCAGCCTAATTTTTTCTTCCTCTCTGTTCCGAAAAAAATTAGTGCCTGCGTTTTTTACTAGAAACAATTACCACTGTTGTGGAGAGTTAGAAGGTGAAGAAAGAAAGTTTGTGCTACTTCACAGTAGTCGTCGAAGCCTAGTGTGGGTTAATAATACTACTGTGTTGCTCCGTCTGCTTATTCACTTCTTATCGAATCAGCGCTGTTACTACTGCTGCTGCCTTGCGGCTTTTCTCTGGTGCTGCTGCTGCTGCTGTGCCGTTGCTGCTGCTGCTGCTGCGGCTGCCGCTGGTGTCGCAGCGGCAGGTGGTTGTTACTCGCTGCTGCTGCGGCCGCTGTTGCTGCTGCTGCAGCTGCTGCAGGCACGCCCGAAGGTGGTCTTCTGTTGCTGCAGCCACTCGTGTTTATATCTCTCCGCTGCAGCAGCGAGACAGCCGCGTGCTGCCGCTTTTGGCCGTTAGTAGCTGTTTTCGTCTCTTTTCTTTGTTCTCTTTGCCTTTCATAGCTCAGAAAGAAAGATAGGGGAGAAGATTGAGGGAGCATCAGCAGCAATAGGAAAGATATAACCAGTGTACAGTAGCAGTGCTGCAGTACTACAGCACATACATATGTATGTATATCTATCGTCCACCACGTCTCGCTCGTGTCTGCGCGCCCTGCTTTTGCCGACCAAGCAACACGCTGCAGCAGCAGCTGCTGCTGCTACTGCTACAGTTGCTGCTGCTGGGGTTGCTGCAGCAGCAGCAGCTGCTGCTGCTGCTGCTGCTGCTGCTCGAGTTGCTGCCGTTGCTGCTGCCGCCGCAGTTGCTGCTCCTGCGGCTGCTTCTATTACAATGTAAAACGATTACCCCTTCGCAGCGGTGTATTATCGCTATGCTGTCCGGTGCTGCGTGTTGTTCTGTTTATCTGAGGAGGTTCTGTTTGTCTGAAAAGGGGAGAAATTCCCGTACGTTTTCTCTTCTTCTGCTACTTTTGCCGTGCCCGCTTTTATACGTTCCCTGTCGGCTGCCGTCCTGCGACCTTCCCTCCTAACGTTTCCTCTGTCTATATCGAACTGCAGCAGCAGCAAGGGCAGCAGCAGCAGCAGCAACACTGGTAGCGGCAGCAGCAGCAGCAGCAGCTTTGATGGTAGTAGCAGCAGCTGCAGCAGCAGCAGCAGTGACAGCAGCAGCCGACGAGCTGTACACCACCTTCATTTTCACATCTTTCTTTTTTCATTTGTGGCTGCTGCTGCGGTAACAGTAATAGTTGTAGTAGTAGTTGTTGTATTATTACTTGCTCGTAGCGGGGAGGGGGGTGGTGGGTGTTTCTCTTCCTTTGTATTCTGCTACCCAACAGGCTGCTGCTGCTGCTACCTGGTCTACAGACTCTGGCCGCATATAGTACTCAGCACTAGCAGCAGCAAAAAAAAGGAGGAGAAGAAAAGACAAAGCAGGAGCAGCAGCCGGTACAGCTAGCATGTCTGAACGTTTAAGAGGAGGACCAGCGGCGTTATATAACCGCAGCAGCAGCAGCAGCAGCAACAGCAAAAAGTAACACGAAGAAGCGCGGCAGCAGGTGCTGCTGCTGCCGCTGCTGCTGCTGCTGCTGCAACTGTCTCCCGATCGTAGATCGGTAACAGAGAGAGGAGAACAAGAGGGAGGAAGAGGAGGAGAGGACAAACGGCAATATCTAACAGCAGCAGAAGCAGCAACAGTAAGTGTGGCACTGTACATATATATATATATGATGCTATATGTACATCTGTAGTGACGTAGTATGGAAGGCAGTAGTATTTAAGAGCAGTAGCGCAATC